GTGCTTTACACTCTTTCCTTACAATCATACACGGCATCACCCTTCGTGATTTATACTCTTTCCTCACAAAACAATACACGGAATCACCCTTCGTGCTTTAACACTCTTCCTCACCCAAACAACAATCACAAATAATAGGGCAAGGGAATAAATGATATTATAACAAGAATTCCGGCAATGGAACAACAATTCAACAATTTAGTCCCGGCAAGGGAACAACATCAATAATCCTCAACATCCCGGCAAAGGAGATAACTAATAAATCAACAATAGCCGGGCAAGGGTGACAACATAATAACCTCTTCCCTTTCTCACTTTTACTTCACAATTCACTTCATAACTCGAGCCAATGCTCTAGAGATTCAACTATCACTTACACTTTCAATATTCGTTACACAACTTGAGCCAACACTCCTCAATATTCATAGGTCACAATTCCTTCCACAAACTTTACACAACATATAGAAACCATCACTAAGGCATGAAAGATACAATGAAGTCATGATAATCATAATATAACGCCCACGGGCATGCTATACACCAACGTATAGATACTCGTCACCATGCTTATACGTCGTACTCAACAATTACCACATAGCAAATAGGACTCAACTCCTAATCCTCAAGCTAAGGTTAGACCAAACACTTACCTCGATGCCACGAACACAATTCACGTCTCAATTATCGCTTTACCCCTCGATTCCACCTTCAATTCGCTCGTATCTAGTGATATGTTACTTAATTACATCAATAAACGCTAAATGAATCAATTCGAATGCATGAAAATAAATTTTCCAAAGTTTTACCCAAAAAGTCAAAAATCGCCCCTGGGCCCACATGGTCAAAAGCCGAGGTTCGAACCAAAACCCGATCACCCATTCCCCCACGAACCAAAATATATAATTTGTTTTCAAATCGGACCTCAAATCGAGGTCCAAATCTCCAATTTTTGAAAAACCTAGGTTCTACCCAAAACACCCAATTTTCCCCCATCAAAATTATTGATTTGAAGTTGAAATCATGTTAAAAGATGTTAATGATTGAAGGAAATGAGTTAAAATTAACTTACAAATGAGTTTGTGTTTTGAAAAGATGTGAAAATAGGTTGAAATTCGTCTAATTATAAAAGTTGCAGGTCTGAGATATGGGAATTGCAAACTGGGGTTCGCAATTGCGAACCCTGACCTCTGCTATTATGGGAATTGCGAAGACAGGGTCACATTTGCGACCCCAGGCGTCAAATGAGAACATTTGCGAAGCAGGCGTCGCATTTGCGACTGACCTTCCGCATTTGCGAGCCAAGTGGTCGCATTTGCGACCAGGCTGGCCTAGGTCCTATTTTTCCATTTGCGATGGAGGTCTCGCATTTGCGAGCCAGGCTTCGCATTTGCGAAGCCTGCAGACCTGTGCACATTTGCTGAAAACCTGCAATTTACCAAGTCCAAAATACACTCCGTGGCCTATCCAAAACTCACCCGAGCCCTCGGGGCTCCAAACCAAATATACACACAACCTCAAAAATATCCTACAGACTTATTCGTGCAATCAAATCACCAAAATAACATCATGAACATCGAATTAAACCTCAAGATCAATGAAATTTCTCAAAACTTCTTAAACATCAAATTTTGCATTTAAGGTCCGAATCACGTCAAATGGATTCCGTTTCTTACCAAACTTTACCGACAACACATATAAATCATATTGAACCTGTACCGGGCTACGAAACCAGAATACGGGCCCGATACCTCAGGTTTCACATAACATTTCACTTTCAAAAACCTTTATATTTTTCAGAAAACAATTTCTTTCAAAAATTTATTTCTCAGGCTTGGGACCTCGGAATTCGATTTCAGGCATACGCCCAAGTCCCATGTTTTCCTACGGACCCTCCGGGACCGTCAAGTTACGGGTTCGGATCCGTTTAACCAAAACGTTGACCGAAGTAAAATTAATTCATTTTATAGTCAAAATTTATAATTTTTCACAGATTTTCACATATAGGCTTTCCGGCTACGCGCCCGGACTGCACACGCAAATCGAGGTGATGCTAAAAGAGGTATCTAAGGCCACGAAATGCAGAATTCATTTTAAAAACAAGTGATGACCTTTTGAGTCATCACATGCTATCAGTTTTGGCACTATCTTTACATATTAATATTATTTGTACTAATAAAAAAATTTAGAAGAAGTTTATGAATTATACAGATGGATCAAATAACACAGGATTACATGCTGCGTCAAAATAATTCTCATTATATGCTTTAATGAGATCAACAACAAAACTACATTTACAAATTTTTATGCCAAAATAGAAAAGCCAACTACCATATGCTCAGTGTCCTACCTTCTTCTACATGAAAGAGAAATTACACTGTTGCATATTAGCTCCCTACATAATGGATTTGAGATTATTCCAACTTCAAGCTGGTCTTCTTCTAACACAGAGGACGAGAGTAATTAGGAGCTTCTGAAATTCGACATTGTGCATTCTCTGCTCGAAAAATAGCATACCTTGATCTCAAGTTATCACTTGAAGGCAAATGAAAGCACGTTGAAAACAAATGCCGCTTAGAAACCCAGCTTTCGCAATGGCTAAAAGGGTTAATGATAACTTTATTACTGATCAGCTCATGATCTTCTGGATGATATTTACCGGACATAGCATTCTTAATGAATGGATGATTAAGCAGCATATCTGCAGTCCATCTCCAATTATGATCTTTTTCAAAACACTTGACCAGGAAGTCCTTGCATATATTAGAAACGTTACTCGGAATCACAGGTTCTTCATGTGTAATCTTGAAGTCCAAATCGTCACTATTTTTATGGCACAACCATAACCGTCTCCCTGTGATCATCTCTACAACAATGCAACCAAGTGCCCAAATATCAACGGCTTTACCATGAATCCCATGAGCTACAGATTCTGGGGAAGCATAAAGCAGAGTCCCTCTATGATGACATACTTCTTGGAGCCTCTATCCCGAGTAGGTATGTGTTTTCGTTTTCTACCGTTCTCAAAGACACCAAATCAGCCAACTTCAGCGCACA